TACCTGCTGATCGATCTCTGTATTTCAGCTGTCAGAGTAACAACAATCCTCAGATCCTCTCTCTCTTGGCTGACCTAGGTGCCTCGTTCGTGTATTAGGGTAGGATTACCGTCTTGTGATTACTTTTGTTATAAATTTATATACAATGTGTTATATTTTGCCTATAAACCTGAGTGTTAATCACCTGCTCGTAACTCCCAAGAAAATGTCAGTTAATTTTTTAAATAATGGAAATGATTTCTCATTTTCAGGGTGAAATGTCGACTATTCTTGACATGGGGGTTGGACCAAGCCGCATAGTGTATTCACAGTGTCAAACATACCACCGACGTCGAATGCACTTGGCACAGATGGGCGTTGATTTGGTTGCGTTTGATAGCGAGGATGAACTGGACAAGCTGGAAGCCGCTACATCCTAATGCCAGGTGTGTCAATACCACTGACATCAATGAACAAACTGGCAACTTGGTGTTACGCAACATCTCATCAGTCAAGCTGTCCACTAAAGTACATCAACATCAGGTAGGTATTAGGAGGATTGGGTCCAATGGGCAGATCAGTTAAATTTATTTAGTAATGGCAACCCATACTGAGGCCAGATTGCAAAAAGCATTTATAGTAAACGGAACACGAAGAGACATTTCAAAAAGCCAGAAACAGCAAGAAACACAGCCCCAAAAAACAAACAAACAAAGCGGCACCCCCAGATGAAACAAACAAATAATAATAATAAAAGGCAAATGAAAAAGCATAAACATAAAATAAACATATAAATAATACGAAATGGCCAAAATTACCACAAAGCAAAACAAAAACAACACTGCCCTTAAAATGCAGAAGGACGTTCAAAACCAAAAATGAATCAAACCAATACAGACGAAATTTAAAATAGAAAAAATGGGAATAAATATGACTTATGTAAATAAAATAAAAGAGGCCAATGCAAAAGCATCAACCAAAAAACCAAAACAAAAACAACACTGCCTTAAAATGCAGAGGAAGGTATGATGAAAGTATCATGTTCATATTCGCATATACATTTACAATCAAAATTTGTTTTGAATATTAGATAGATTGGGAAAAATGTAGTATAATAGGACGATGTCAAAAATCTGAGCTACACTGGGCGCATAGGCAGCATCATTATGATGACGGGTTCGAATCTCAGAATAGTAACGTATTTGAAGAACTGTAGGAGAGAATACATTCAGATGTGTACATATCATGGAATGAATGTATGAAGAACAGCGAAATACAACATTTAACATTTCTGAGTGAGTTTGAAAGACCATTAGGCAATGCCTTCGTTTTGTCACCAAATTCGACGAGACAAGGTACGATAAGACGGAGCCTTGTCACAATTATTGCAAAAAGCAGTAATTACGTTTACAGAAATACCACGTTCAAAATAAAAAGAATGTGATTCTTAACGCATTCAGTGTTCTCATTCAACTATCATGAAAACATTTGGGTTGGGTCCCACTCACTGAAATGTTAAATATAACTAATGTAAAATATTTAACAAAAATAATCTTGTTTTCAGAACATATATTATCAGACTTATGAGCGTTTATAGTTATGGGAGTGGCATTAAGGTTTGTATAGTAATAGCATTTTAATTGTTGATCTTCTGAGTGAAATAAACCATTATCATGTTTCAAAACGCTTTTTGTACACACACCTAACAAAGCAATACTGCAATTATCTATATCCTAATAGCCATCAATCGATTATTTGAATTTCAATGTTATTTTTTTGCATAAACAAATGCTGCAAGACATCTGAATATATAAAGTTATTTGCTCTTTTGATTGGACGTATTTCCTGAAATCAGAAAATGTGCAATATGTAGTAGTGAGATCATCGGCTGATTTAGTAAATAGTTCCAGCACTCTAAACATGAGTTGCATTGCTCCAATGCATGTTTCTCTTGTTTTCAAACTATTCCAGACCACTTACTTTTATTTCAAATACCTGACGTCATTATCTTCCATAAATGAATATAAATTCTAAAGGTGCATTTGTCAGAAATAAATCTAAGAGAATATCAATGAAATTGATTAGGTACATTTTATTCAATCTCTTTTAGCTTAATCGTATTTAGGATGACCTGTACCTATGGCCATATTTAAACTGAACTTTAAGTTCCTTACTAAAAAGCAGTTTGGGTATCTCAATTAATCAATTCATTATCTTACTGATGTATTGTACTTGATGTACACATTTAGATTACTGCTGAGAATCCAAGAGTTCAAACAAATATGAAGTGGAACATCACCTTAGCGTCCAGTATGGATGTCAAGAAGAGGCGAAATCCACCATCTCCTCAGAGGAAAGCCAAGAGCATGACTGAATGTGGTGGGGAGTCAGGTATACAAAGCTTGCAAAATATATTGAGTTGAAAAATAGCTGCTGTTAAAATAGGGATGAAAACAAGGTGTACAGCAGTGACCGTGTGCACTGCCAAATGTACCAATGGCTGTTCACATGAAAACACAAGGGAATATATGATAAAAAATCAAATTAAGGAATTGCGTGGAGTCATGTGGCGCTGTTTGATTAAATTTGGAAATATTCTCCATTTATGCTACAAAACTGTTTCCGAGCTTACTAAGTTCTTGGATGGTGTAACCTTAGTCAAAGAGTCGTGCGACGCACGAAATCTGCTTTGAAAAGAACTTGCCCGCTTGTACCAAATATGTGAAAGTTAGAGACTAAAGGTCGGAGAATTTGCAGATAATCCACGACGGTAGATTTATTCATTGCAAAGTCATCACTTTTGTCATACAGTCTTGTGAGGTTTTATCACTCAGGTCTTTGAGATCTTAATCTGAAGCGATGAAACAATTTTTCCTATTTCAAGTGGGTAAATCATGGTTTATTTGGTCGATGGCATAAGTGTTGACTCATGGTTAACTTCTTGGAGAAAATCAGGTGTTGATTTGCTAATCCGAGAAGATTATTCTTGACAAAAACATATCAAACATAAAATTGACATACAAAAGCTGTTACCTTTAAACGTATACCTCAGCTGTTCCTTTTCATACGTTTCCATGTTGGAAGTGGCATCTCGTGGACGGCCGTCTTCATTGACGCTATAAGAGAGCTGACAGGGTGTTTAGTAGCCTCTAGACTCAACATCTCCACCAGGTATGTTGGATGTTGGAGGGGCATCTTTGGACATAAGACACCTCCGGTGGGAATTTGAAGAGGTAACGTCACACATTACCTACAGGCAAAACGTAAACAAAGTGTGTATAGTTCTTTCCAATCTACTGGAATTGCTTTCTATTTAGGGGCAAGACTGCGTAGCAGTCCTGAATTTAAAGTGGTCTTGAACAACATGCTTGTCGTAAAGGCACAGGGGCGTATGCAGAAACAGCGTTGAAAGGCATATAGGTGTATAGACCCTACCTAATTACTATATAAAGAGAAAGGGATGAAAGCATGTTTGTTATTGCATCGGGTTGCAGAGACATCTCAACAGGGCCTAGATGAATACTTTCCTGAAGGAGTTCGGGTCGTGGCTGGAGCCTGGCCGCTACTGTGACGTCATGTGCGACCTTGGTCATAACAGTTATAGGAAGGAAGATCAGGCATGGTTGGTTTCTTCGCTAATGAACACAATTAGAAACTAAAGGGATAAAATCACTATTACGTGGTGATCATACCAGATGTTCACGACAGGTACATGGTCACTCAACGGCTGCCCTCGTTAGAAGCGCATGCAGAGCGGTAAAGTTTTCACATGAGTAAACAGTGGAACATTAAACAGGAATTAACATTTTGATTTTGCCACCATCTGTAGATTGATTTCCGGACCTTCATACACCAGTCCCAAGGGTTACTACATTACAAGAGTGGTTTCAGACCCTCGCAGGGATAGGCTGCAGAAGCATGGACCGTGTACTCTGTATGAAGACGGTGAAGACATCAAAGACATAATAACGAGAGTTCACTTACAAAAAGAAAGAAAAAGGTACTTTTTACAAGCTGTGTATACGCATGTAAAGAAATTATGATTCATGTTTTAAAAGTCAGATTACCACAGACAAGACTGTAGTTTGTTGTTTAATGCCGCATTCAGCAATATTGAAGCTGCATTAGCATGGTAGACAGATCACGTGTAAACCAGAAATAATACCATTGATGAACAGGGATGCATCAGCCAGATCACCGAGCCTCACCCTGTTAGTCCCTCGAGATGTTTGGCAACCCATGCATGGGTACAATGTGTGAGCTGCATTTCTGGTGTGTCCCCTAAAGTCATATTGCTGGAATATTGCTACTCAAACGATGTAACCCCTTCATTCACCCAATACTCACTGGTTTGACAACGCAGTGGGATTGAAGACCTACGGAAGGTCACAGGTTGTGCAATTAGGGGTCCGTAACTGACCCTAGCGGCAGTAGAGGCCTACGAGGCAGTAAGATGTTGGAAGGGGAATAGTATTCTTGGAAAAATACTCTCTTCTTAAACTGTTATTCTCCTCTTCCCCAACAAAAACCCCCGAAAACAAACAACAAAACAAACACCCCACCACCCATCCCAACAAAAAAACCAACAAAGCAAAAAAACAACAACAAACAAACAATAAAACAACAACTACAAAATAAATTTAAAGAAAACCAAAAACAAAATAAACGGGTGACCATTGTTGTAAGGGTGTGAGTTAGAGTCACGTTTGAATACACAATGGCATGCAAAAGAGTGGTCAAATGTAACGAGCTCGGATCCCGGAGTGGGGCTCAACCCAACAAAATGAACTGGAAGCTGTTCTCAACTGAAAAAGTGTAATTAAGAAATACAGTTCGCTCTACCACCATGTATAGTGTAATAAAACACACTTTCGCCCTGAACTATTATAGTTAAAGAATACGAGGACGCTTGCCTACTACGTGGTATTCTGGCCTATATATCTCTATATTATTCTTATTGTGAGAGGAAGTATTGTTTTGTCCACATGTACAAGAATGTTGATTTCTCTGTTCCCAAGGATAAACACTTCGGATCTGCCTTCTATGTCGCACTGATCTGGGCGATGTCATGCAGAAGATGGACAGATGGGCTCAAGCACCTCCCAAGGGGTGAAACCACACTTTGGTATGTGGAATACAATTACCAAGCAATATTAACATTGATTAAATTGTATGACAAATAGTTCTTCAGTACCGGAATATTGCTAGACTGCTGTTCAGAGGAAGATATTCGACCTAAAGACTCTAACTTCAATAAACAAACCCCCAGTATATGTGTGCAGTAAGAAATAAATCAAGCAACAAATTATATCAAGATTTCTCTACAGTTTGTCTGCCAAAAGCACTTGGCCAGAATCGAAGAAAATCCCTGCAATCAATCTTTGCGAAGGTGATGTCACATCAGTTACTGATTTAAAAGTATTATCAATGTTGACTCAGAATCATTTGAAAATATCCGCTTGATTTAAATCATTCATTTCTAACATCTGTTACATGTAGGATTACTGCTTTCTCAGTGAAGTACAGATTTTAATGCTGTATATGTTGAGCACCAACTTGGGTTCCGAGCCACAAAGCGTTCGTAGTGCTACGACATTCATTAGCCTATGATAACCTACTTACGACAGGTCGTAAAGTTACGAACGCTTTATGAAGCTGGGTCCCGATCCACAAAGATCGTAGTGCTACGACTGTCGTAGAAGTCTATGTTAAGAATATGAGTTACGATCCTCTCCGAGGAGTTACGATCGCTTTTGAGGAACGGGGCCCCGGGTTTTGTGAATTCCTAACCCACACTCGCAGTGCGAGGCACCTAATCGCCAGCACACGAAGTCAGCGATCTACGGAGAAAGTGTTGTTAAATGGAACATATTTTACCTCTCTTAAAACACATTGTGTATTCCTGCTTCGTATCCTTTCATGCAAAAGCATGGTGATATACATAACTGTTCATCCTTTAAGCATCTCACGGTTGACTTGCAAAGTAAAATATGTATGTTTTGTACACAGCTGTGCAGTATGTGCATGTATTTACTTCGATTTAGATTCTAAGATTAAGTGACGATTATTATGGTATCGTTAACACGCACGTGAACGTGTGATACCCCCACCATGTGATTCTCATTTGCATAATGGAAAAGTACACATCATAGGTTCTGTACTTTAAGCATTATTTTCACCTTTCAGCGTACTTCCGGTCTGTTTAATCATCTATCAAAAACATGTTTGTATAAGCTATTCATTTCATGCAGTCTAAGTAAACTTAGGCTCAGTATTATTCGTTACAGTGCTATACTGGAGGTCCTAACAAACCTAAGTAGAGAAGTCGTCCAGCTAACCTTTTGACTGGACCAATCAGAACACAGCTTACCTAAAAAGTTAACATTCGCACATACAGCGTTTGAAACTTTACCTAAAAACTCGAACGATTCCGAATGCTAATTTCCGCACGATCGCTTCCGGAGTGATACACATGGAGGACGGCATAATGGAGTAAACAGTCGCTGAAAATGGCGTTTTTGTCACTATTCCAGGATGTCATCTTGCGGAAATATAAGTAATAGTAACCAGGTCAAATATCTGTAATGTCTTTTTGGGGATTTTCGTTTGTTGACAGGATCAGCGTCAGCGACAGGGAAGAAAATCCTAAAACTGTTTTGTATTTCCCGCGAAACCTAACAAATGGATTTGTCTGATTGGTTAAATCCGTTCGGCCGTCGGCGTTTGATTGGACGGTCATAAGGTCGCTCAAGATTAAAGCTGACGCAACCTTCTTCTAGGATTTGTTAGACTCCAGTATAGCAGTGTAACGAATAATACTAAGCCTAAGTTTACTTAGACTGTCATATCATGGTGCCCGGTTGAAAGGTGAGACTGAAGGTAAATAATAATAACCGTGAACTCCTTCAGCAACCACTGCTTGTCGTAAAGAGGCGACTAACGGTGTCGTGTGACTTGGTTGACACATGTCATCGTATTCCAATTGCGTAGAGTTGTATACTCCCCAGGGAGTTGAGATTAATAATGCGATGAGCCGTTGAGATTGACATCCAATGATCGAGGGAAAAATACCAGCGCCCAGGCATACACTGAGTGTGTTGATATGTGCGCTATATAAATATCCTATAATAATAATAATAGATCGATGTTCAAACTGTTCATTGTCTGGTCCAGACTCCATTATTTACAGACAGCCCTCCCAGCTGGAACATAGCTGAAGTGCGGCGTCGAACATCAAACAAATACAGACTCTTTAAGGTCAATGAAAAACGTCATCCTTCATGAGAGGGTTGGGAGGGGAAGTTCATTAACAAAGTATGTTTGTCGAGTTTCAAGAAAGTAGCATTTTTCTGCCGTTGTTTTTTGTACATATTATGTATGTAGTGGTAATGTCAGTTAAACACTAATGTCCTTCTTGGTGTTGACAACGAAGGTTCCAAAACATCTGGGCCTAAATTTCGAAGCTCTCTTAGCGCCAAGATAGTCGTAAAGTGCCATACATTAACATTAATTTACGACTATCTTGGCGCCAAGAGAGCTTCGAAAAATCTAGACCCTGGTGTTTTGCTAGCTCAGTTTCTCTGTATACGGAACCAAGAGTTGTGTGAAGTGTTTGCAATAACAAGCAGCAAGATTGCCAAGTAGAAATAATTATGTGATTGGCTGAAATCGAGGGGTCAAGGACGCTGATCCAGAAAGTGCATACTATTCCCGTAAAGTAAGCTTGTGTTGAACTGTGGCTTATCATGTCATTAAACGGAATTTACTTAAAACAATTTTTAGTAATCTAGTGAGAGACAAGAGAAATTTCCGTTTAAAAGTTAGACTGCATTGCGAATGTTTCCTGAGCGGTAAGTGATATTATCAGACTGGAAGTGATAGCTAATACGGCAAATGATTTCCTGTTTATTTCCTAATGTTGACTCGAATACCAGTGTTGAGGTCGGTCTTGCCCAACAACTTGTACTATTTGTCGAAAACTGTTTATGTAATATGTGTTTTGATAAGACACATATTACTTTCACACTTATAATGTGTCATTAAGTTATATTTGGGTATGCGAGTATGAGGTAAGTCAAGGAATAACGTAATTCTACTTTATTCTAGAAAAATGTGTGAAGGTTTGTTGTTGAATGACGTCTTTAAGAAAATTATATATCTTTTACAGTGAAAGGCTAAGACCAAATTGAAGCACTTCTGTGGGTGACGGTTGAATTTAGAATTTACAGCATTTCAGACATGTATGTTTAGCCGTTGTTGGCAATGCTGCTCTAAAACACTATTATGAAAAACTATTCCATTTAATGAAGTCGTCCTTAAATATTTACGGATATCGCATGAGGCATGGATGATTATTTGTACTCCTGGGGCGGTGGGGTAGCCTAGTGGTTCGGGTTCAGGCTCGGATTCGGGTTCGATTCCCCACATGGGTACAATGTGTGAAGCCCATTTCTGGTGTCCCCCGTCGTGATATTGCTAAAAGCGGCGTAAAACTAAACTCACTCACTATTGTAGCTCCTGATGACGTTTTTAAGTTACTGTTATAAATCGCCGGAATACCTGCTGATCGATCTCTGTATTTCAGCTGTCAAGAGTAACAGCAATCCTCAGATCCTCTCTCTCTTGGCTGACCTAGGTGCCTCGTTCGACTGTGCCAGCAGGGTAGGATTACAGTCTTGTGATTTCTCTTTTGTTATAAATTTATATACAATGTGTTATATTTGCCTATAAACTAAAGTCATTAAATCCGCCTGCTCGTAACTGAAAATGTCGGATTATTTTTAAATAATGGAAATCGATTGCTATGGTATTTTCAGGGTGAAATGTCGACTATTCTTGACATGGGAGTTGGACCAAGCCGCATAGTGTATTCACACAGTGTCAAACATACCACCGACATTAGATACGCGGCACAGATGGGCGTTGATTTGGTTGCGTTTGATAACGAGGATGAACTGGACAAACTGAAGCCGCTACATCCTAATGCCAGGTGTGTCAATACACTGACATCAATGAACAAACTGACAACTTCAGTGTTACACTGCAACATCTCATCAGTCAAGCTGTCACTAAAGTACATCAACACTCAGTGGTATTAGGAGGAGGATTGGGTCAATGAACTGAATCAGTTAAATTTATTTAATGTGTTTCAACCATACTGAGGCCAGATTACAAAAAAACATTTATAATGTGGAACACGAAGAGACAACCCCCTAAAAAACCCCAAACAACAAAAACACAACCCCCCAAAAAAAACAAACAAACAAAAACAACCCCCACCCCCCAAAATCAAACAAACAAATAATAATAATAAAAAAAGCAAACAGAAAAAAACATAAACATAAAAATAAACATATAAACCAATACAAAAACAACCAAAAATTACCACAAAAAACAAAAACAAAAACAACACTGCCCTTAAAATACAGAAGGACAGTGCAAAACAAAAAATGAATCAAACCAACCCCCCAAATAAAATTTAAAAAATAGAAAAAATAGAATAAATATAAACATATAAATAAAAATAAAAACCAATACAAAAAGCATCAACCAAAAAAAAACCCAAAACAAAAACAACACTGCCCTTAAAATGCAGAAGGAAAGTGTAGTAAGTATAAATATTCCATATATTCGCATATACATTTACAATCAAAAATTTGTTTTGAATATTAGATAGATTGGGAAAAAGTAACTAGTATAATAGGGACAAAGTGTCAAATCAGGCTACTGGGCACTGTAGGCAGCATCATTATGATGACGGGTTCGAATCTCAGAATAGTAACGTATTTGAAGAACTGTAGGAGAGAGAGGAACCTGTCCAAGATGTACATATCATGGAATGAATGTATATAGGAAGACAGCGAAATACAACATTTAACATTTCTGAGTGAGTTTGAAGACCATTGACAATGCCTTCGTTTTGTCACCAAATTCGACGAGACAAGGTACATTAAGACGGAGCCTTGTACAATTATTGCAAAAACATTAATTACGTTTACAATACCACGTTCAAAATAAAAAGAATGTGATTCTTAACGCATTCAAGTGTTCATGTACGCATTCATGTAACTATCACCAAGCATTTGGAGTTTGATTCCCACTCACTGAAATGTTAAATATAACTAATGTAAAATATTTAACAAAATAATCTTGTTTTCAGAACGTATATTATCAGACTTGTATAGAACGTTTATAGTTATGGGAGTGGCATTAAGGTTTGTACTCTGAAATGTAATAGCATTTTAATTGTTGATCTTCTGAGTGCGAAGTAAACCATTATCATCCATTTCAAACGCTTTTTGTACACGCACACCTAACAAAGCAATACCACCAAATTATCTATATCCTAATAACCGTAATCGATTGTTGAACTCAATGTTATTTTTGCATAAACAAATACTGCAAGACATCTGAATATATAAAAGGATTATTTTGCTCTTTTGATTGGACGTATTTCCTGAAATCAAGAAAATATTGCAATATGTAATGTGATGCAGATCATCGGCTGATTTAGCAGAAATAATATTCCAACTTTCTAAACATGGATTGCATTGCTCCAATGCATGTTTCTCTTGTTTTCAAACTATTCAGACCACTTACTTTTATTTCAAAATACCTGACAATCCATTATCCATAAATGAATATAAATTCTAAGAATTTTTTGTTGATAAAATAATCTAAGGAATATATCAATGAGGGTGATTGGGGGTACATTTTATTTCAATCTCTTTTTACAGCTTAATCGTATTCCAGGACAAACCTGTACCTATAATATGGCTAAACTGGACTTTGCATAAGTTCCTTACTAAAACAAGTTTACGAGTTATCTCAATTAATCAATTCATTATCTTACTGATGTATTGTACTTGATGTACACATTTAGATTACTGCTGAGAATCAAGAGTTCCGACAAATATGAAGTGGAACATCACCTTAGCGTCCAGTATGGATGTGAAGAGGACGAAGTCCACCATCTCCTCAGGAAAGCCAAGAGCATGCGACTGAATGTGGTGGGAGTCAGGTACTTCTAAAGCTTGCAAAATATATTGAGTTGAAAATAGCTGCTGTTAAGAAATAGGGATGAAAACAAGGTGTACAAAGCAGTGACCGTGTCCTACACTGCCAAATGTACAAGCCAACTGTTCACATGAAAACACAAGGGAATATATGATAAAAATCAAATTAAGGAATTGCGTCCGGAATCATCTTTGGCACTGTTTGATCAAATTTGGAAATATTCTCCATTTGTCTGCCAAAAAACTGTTTCCGAGCTTTACTAAGTTCTTGGATGGTGTAACCTTGATCAAAGAGTCGTGCGACCCTTTGAAATCTGCTTTGAAAGAACTTGCCCGCTTGTACCTCAAATATGTGAAAGTTAGAGACTAAAGGTCGGAGGTGCTGGAATAATCCACGACAGTAGTTGACCATTGCAAAGTCATCACTTTTGTCATACAGTCTTGTAGAGGTTTTTGTCACTCGGAGTCTTTGAGATCTTAATCTGAAGCGATGAAACAATTTTTCCTATTTCAAGTGGGTAAATCATGGTTGTTGGTCGATGGCATAAGATGACTAGAGCTCTTGCTCAAGTTAAACTTCTTGGAGAAAATCAGGTGTTGATTTGCTAATCCGAGAGATTATTCTTGACAAAGAAAAACATATCAAACATAAAATGAAACTCTAAAAAGCTGTTACCTTTAAACATGATATACCTCAGCATATTCCATTTTCACTGCATGCAGTTTCCATGTTGGAAGTGGCATCGTGGACGGCCGTGTCTTCATTGACGCTATAGAGAGAGCTGACAGGGTGTTCCAAATAGCCTCTGAACTCAACATCTCCATGAGTGTCTTGGATGTTGGAGGGGGCATCTTTGGACATAAGACACCTCCGGTGGAATTTGAAGAGGTAACGTCACATTACCTACAGGCAAACGTAAACAAAGTGTGTATAGTTCTTTCCAATCTACTGGAATTACTTTTCTATTTAGGAACGGGAGCTACCCGTGAAGATCCTGGTTAAAATTGGTCTTGAACAACCCATGCTTGTCGTAAGAGGCACAGGGGCGTGTCACGCTTAGAAACAGCGTTAGAAAGGCATATAGGTGTATAGACCCTACCCTAGTACTATATAAAAGGAAAGGGATGTAAACTTGTGTTTATTGTGTGCAGGTTGCAAGACATCTCAACAAGGGCCTAGATGAATACTTTCCTGAAGAAAGAGGAGTTCGGGTCATAGCGGAGCCTGGCCGCTACTTTGTGACGTCATGTGCGACCTTGGTCATAACAGTTATAGGAAGGAAGATCAGGCATGGTTGGTTCTTCGCTATTGAACACAATTAAACTAAAGGGATAAAAAATCACTATTACGTGGTGATCATACCAGATGTTCACGAACAGGTGCGCGTATTCTTTCCAACGGCTGCCACTCGTTAGAAATACATGCAGAGGCAGTAAAGTTTTCACATGAGCAAACAGTGGAACATTAAACAGGAGTAACATTTTGAATTTGCATCATTTTGTTTGCAAATTCATAATACTTTAGCGCACAAGGGCTTGAGAAGAACTATGATACATTAATGAGTGTCTGACTTCAGGTGAAGATGAAGACGAGTACATATACTTCGTGAATGACAGCGTCTTTGGAACCTTCAACAGAACCTTCAAAAGATGCTGCAGGGCTGAAGCACCATCGCTGCTAAATGTATGAATATAACACACTATTTAGAAACCTTTCGCATCTGAAAAAATCGTGTATACGATGAAATGCATAATACATTTTATAGCTAGTGTAAAATTGAATCCTCTAGCACCAAACATAGAGGAACACTGATGACAGGGAGGGTAACAAACACCGAGTATTGCTGCTCTCGAACCACAAAAGTAGAAGAGATTGTAATCACATCATGTTCTATGTATAGGAGACACCACGACGAGGGATTACTAGAGATTGTGAATCCTGAGAGGAGGGAACAGCCCGAGGACCCGAAGGATGTTCCCTCCTCTCAGGTTTACGATCTCAAGTAACCCCCAGTGGGAGTGGTTTCTCCTACTTATCAACAATTTTTTAGTAAAATATCTTTTAAAATAATATATAACGATCGACATCAATACGCCCCGAGCATAACAACATTAATGGGACAACCCCCAAATGATGGTTCAGCCGGAGTCAACGGAGATGCGACTGGCAGCCAACACCTTGCCTTGCACGCGCAATGCACGTGCTACCCGTGTTCTGCACGTGCGCTGCCCGCTGTACCCGTCTTATGAGGAACGCATGGTTCATACTGACAAACAATATCATTCTTCACAGCAATCCTTCGTAGCCTAGAGGATAAAACCGCCAAGCATGAGAGCGAAGTGTTGCGGGTTCGAAACCAGTTCTGCCACTATATATTGGAAGTTTTCAATATTGTGATATTTTACGATCAGTGATAGCAAGACAAAGTTGTATCAATCATGAATAATATCCTAGGTTTAGAAATGATCAGTGCAAAGTCACAGCAAAGGTCTGGGAACCCACTTTACAATTCACATCCAGGGAATTTACAATACACATCCTTGATTATATAGTGTAACCATATGATACGATTTTGAAAAGACTGTTTGAGATGACCAGTTATACGCGAGGTAGGTTGATAATGGTTGGAAAGGGCCTATTGATATATTTATGGAGAGGCAGGGCCTGATCTGCATTTGCTTTGAGTTAAGCTTTGTTTCTCAATGTTAGGGAGCTAAGAACTTGTTATTTTGTAAGTTAATTAAGAAACATCGTATTCTTAAGGCAAGTCGTCCCATCGGCGATTTCTTCCACCTCGCCACATCCAGTTACCCTAAGTCCCGTTTGCGGTCGTATTTGAAAGTGTTTTCTGGTAGCTGTAGGCGACTGTGCCATACAGGACGTCCTTTTTCCGGGTTACAGTTGTCCTTCGAACTAACAAAACAAACGATACTGTCCCGTCCTGCATGCAACGGACGTGACCGAGCTATGAATTGTCCGTTTTGCCCATTTCCTGTTCACCGACACGCTCTTCGTTAGTGTGGGGCTGCCGATGGACACCACAGGATACGCTTGATGACCTCAGCATCCAAGGACAGTGATGATCGAGAGGTTACAATCCAGTCATATTGGTGCGAACATTCCAGCATCTCAAACGAAGAACTGACCTCTTGAGTTTCTGTCCTTCTTTGTTGCCGTTGCCTGGTGCGGTTGATCAGAGTGCCTGGTGATCAGAGCACTGCATTAATCTTCCAACCATTAGAAGCCGCCTCACATGCTGCTGTACTTTAAGCCAAAAGAGCTTCTCACTGCTGGACTCCTAGTTTTACCGTGACCTTAAGGCCATGCTCGGAGCCACCTCCCAGGCCCAGCAGCTCCATGTGGAGGGACATCTGTTGCTGATACCAAGGACCTTCATTCTGTACGTCTTGCTGATAATGGCAAGGGACATTTTGTATAAAGAAACCGATACCCTCCTTGAAAGGTGTATAATACAACACCATACTGGCTAAGGGACTCCAAGCCAAGGCTTTTTGTCCAAACCATCTGGTTCTAAATAGGTCAGACCCTAGTACCATTTGACTTTAACAGCATGGGTCAGGTCAGATTTAATGAAAGTGGTTTTGAAGTAAGATTGAGGTTCTCAGTATTTGAATAGGACACTGTGTGAAAGAACATAGTACATTTTATAATCCCTACTATGCGTGTGGTGTGTAATTTATCTCAATCTATAAAACTGGCGGAACTAATGTGTTCCCACCCCTTTCCGAAAATCAAATAGTTGCCCACTAACTATGAACATGATGTATACAATGAATTGTATATTGGGAAAAGTAATTTTTGTGGAAGGAACACATGACATTATCGCAACCTTTGTATCCACGACAGTGACGAGTTCAGGTTAGCCAGGCTCTGCGTTACATTTATGCGACTGAACATGCACATGCACTCACATGAACGGCACACACAAACACATACTGCAGCTACTTCCTCAGTATTTCTGTTCCAGGCTCCACGGACCTCGGTGACCTTCAAGTCCACTGTCTATGGACAGACATGTGCAGGTGACGACATCCTTTTCGAGGAGTGTCACTTACCGGAGCTTGAAATCGGGGACCGGTTGTTCGTGGAGAATGTTGGCGCTTATCCCATGTCTATTAACAAAGCCGGGTCATTTAATGGAATGCCACAACCAATACCAATTTATGTCTGCAAAAAAGGATCATGGTACTGTTTGTTTTCAGGTCTTATTATTTACTGCTAGCCAGAGATTTATTTACTTAAAACAATTAACCAATGAGCCAATGAGCCTATTTTGTTAAAAATAATAATAACACATTTCAACGAGACTTTTTTCTAATTCCAACCATATATACATATAATGACTGGGGTCTTTGCTGAACGGTGGTGAATATCTATACTACCATCTGCGTCATCTGTCATCCAATATCGTGTATCAGGTAGCCTAGTGGTTAAAGCGTTCGCTCTCGTCACGCTGAAGACACGGGTTCGATTCCCCAGGGGAATAACATGTGATTTGTCAGTGCTAATTATTCCTAGAACTATATATTAGGAAAATATTCACATCCACACATAAGCATAACGTGGGTCTTTTCACCTTGAGTAATGATCTATTTGATTACTGCCAGGATTTGCCGTGTCAAGAGCAGAAAGCGAGTAACGCCCGTAAACAAGTGTGTGCCAGGCAACATCCCGGAAGAGAACTTTAGGACTTGAAGAAGGAACCGTAGAATAAAAATCTCTGTCTTCATTGTTATCTTATCTTATCACAATTGTGTTTTCGTATAACACTGTATTGAGTAAATCTACAGCTTTATAATTGCGTCCTTATATACTGACGTATGGACGGACAAAACAGTAACTGATATGGCAAATCTCTGAGGTGACGGGATAACTGCTAAAACCCCTCACAGATATAATGGGACCACTATGCAATTTGATAATACATTCCTTGTTGTGTTACACACACCTCCTTGTTTGTTATATATAATACGAATTAATAAACACACGTTCATGATACAGTCTGTGTCAAACGTATTTTGCTCTGATTTCTTTGAAAGAGACCCGTGAAGATCCGGATTAGAATTGATCCTCAGTAACCCATGCTTGTCTGCCTGTGAAGATCCGGGTTAGAATTGATCTTCAGTAACAACTCATGCTTGTCGTAAGAGTTGACTAACAGGATCGGGTGGTCAGGCTCGCTGACTTGGTTGTCATCGTATCCCAATTGCGTAGATCGATGCTCATGCTGTTGATCACTGGATTGTCTGGTCCAGATTGATTATTACAAACCGCCGCCATATAGCTGCAATATTACTGAGTGCGGCGTAAAACTAAACTCACTAACTCACTCTTTGGAAAAGGAATCTGTTGCTATGTATATATATATAAATTTGAGATGACCCCCGACTTGAAATGCTTCACAGTTCAACACATAATCATAAGACGGGGATCATCTAAAAAACAAATAATCTTTAATCCTGGGAAAGACGAGGGCCTGTGCAGACAATCCGATGATCGACGCCATGAGATATGATGACAGAGCATATGTGTTTATGAATCACTATGAAATAGTGATGATACCAGGTGTTCGCTAAAAGGTGAGCGTATCCTGCCTCATCGGTGGTACCCGTGTTTTATTAGCAAAGGCCAGTGAGTTGTTCACCTGAAAAAAAATCGGAAACGTATGGCACAAGTAAAATATGGGAATTGCATCGGACATCATTTTTGTCACTGATGCATTTAATGTAGAAATGTCCTCCACATGTCTACCATAAAACCATTTGAAAGCTTCTCCGGGGACTTGTAACCTCAATCGAACAACTCGAGCTAGAGTGGCATAACGCTGTTCAATTCTTGATAAAAAGAGCATGTTCGATTGTACCTCAAAAGTTACAAATGTAAACATCAAAGGCTGGAGCTTTTGCAATATTGCTCGACATGGAAGGGAAGTTGACTATAGGAAAGTTGAAATCATCCCTTTTGTCATATGTGCAGCGTTGTGGAGAGATTTCTGTCACCCTGAATCTGACGATTGTGATTTGGAGATTTTACTCTTGCTTTCCTACAGGATGCGTATTTCGTACACGGGGCTCTGAATCTTTATGCATAGATAGGAAGCAGTTCAGACGGTCTCAATTGTCTCCTTAATTTCAAGTTCAGGTGGGTAAATCATTTAAAGGGAATTGGCTAGTTGATGGTAATAGAACAGTATTAGATCATCGATACACCTATAGCTTTAATTAAATTTCTTGGCCAAATCACCTAGTTTTGATTTTCCCAGCCCAAGCAGAAATTCTCATTCATGTACATACAGAACAGATCCGCAAGGATGGAGGATAATGGGTGCGCACGGGGATACTTCTTGTAGAAATATTTTACTTCCATTTTTCACAATGAGAACGGCCAGCGTGTCACGGGTTGTTTTCTGAGTAAACTTCAAATGATGGTTGCTTTATTTTGACAAACTGTTCTGAAATTCTGAAGATAGACATATAGGTATATCTTTGTTCACCGCGTGTATTTGTGAATGCCCTATTGAGCAAGGAAAGCCGTTTTTCCTTACGTTTGTCATGTGGGATAGTGCCGTACAACATTGAAACATTGAGGGCCATATTTACGAAGACGGTTTAGACCTAGTTTTACACCAAGTCCCAGGTTAGCGTGTGTTTAAACTACGGCTCGTATTACAGAAGCAGGTTTGTCAGTGATAGTAGTTTAAACCAAGGTGTAGAGACCAGGTGTGACGATTGTGGCATTTCCGAAAAATGTTTAATATCGTCGGCAAACTTCGGAAATCGTCGGTATCGTGTACCAAGTCAGCCGAAAACGCGAGTTCAAACCAAGATTGGATCACACACCAAACCGTTTATTTTCCAAATCTGCTATTTTCGAAACAGGTTTAGAGATACATCTGGTTCAGACGAGGTGGTTTATCGTCCAATTTGCAGACCTGGTAGGGGGGTAATTTACACCTGGTTTATATGTAGAAATAAACCCCAACATTCAGAAGCATGGAACACTATGGTGATTTACTGTGAAAGCAGAAACGAACATTACTCTTTCAGTGACTAGCAGGTACCATGAACACAGATACACATTAATTTCCACTACCTGCCTGTGGAACAAATTAATGTACAACAAAACACCTCGGCGTACTAACTTGAAAGTAACAACCCAATAACACAAATTATTTGGTTTCAACTCGCAACATGAGCTAAACATTTCAATAGTCTAACCACATCGAACATATTACTTACTCAAAATGAACGTTGATATGAGAAAAACTAGAATATGGGCATATATATGTCCTTTTACTGTAAGTGCGTTACGTAACAGATTCCTTAACGCAACAAATCTTCAGACAGAACACTTCAATGTTAACAATGTAAGGATATCCAGGAGCACCATTCATCGACGTTGAAGGGCAGCCGGACTCCACTGCAGGCGACCTGCACTTTGTCCACCACTAACACCACGTCACAGACAGGCGCGTTTAGAATGGAATAGGCATCAACGTCAATGGCCTCGTCTGCTCTTCACAGATGAAAACAGAATCAGTTTGTCCTTCCACTGTGGTCGGCAGAGGATTTATAGTCGCAATGGAGAGCGAACCGCAGATGCAACTGTGGCCACGCATAACCGATTTGGCGGGGGTCGGTCACGGTTTGGACGTACTGCACCGCACGTTGTCGACGGTAATATTACCGGACAGCGTTATCGGGACGAGATTCTGGCTCCTATAGCAGTACCATTCCTCCAAGCTATGCATGGCTTTTATGGTCGACCCTCTTTACTTCAAGACGACAACGCTAGGCCTCATAGGGCCAGGATTGTCACAGAAGTCTTTAGGCAGTAGGGTGTAGAGCGGATGGAGTGGCCAGCAGGCTCGCCAGACCTCAACCCAATTGAGCATGCCTGGGATGAAGTCGGTCGACGTGTGTACACACGTCACCCAGCACCAGTGGATCTTCCAGGACTCCGCAGAGCTCTAGTAGAGGAATGGAATGCGATTCCGCAAACTTTCTTTATGAACTTGATAAGGAGCATGAGAACAGGGTGCACCTGTGTCTTGGACGTGCGAGGAGGGTACACAAGATATTGAATGATCGAGTGCTTCATGTTTGTCATTTGAGGAGGTTGGTCTATACAACTGATGCTAGTGCTGTTTGAACTTTTTGTCTGTATGTCACGGTGTCACGTTTGTCAACACATTAAACATTATGATGACACTCTTAGTTCTATTATTTCTGAGAAACTTTTCTTTACATGTGCTATATATCTTTTGACCCTTTGTTAATGACGCCTAGTATTTAGCCGTGCTTTGTAGGTATTCTTCTTGATGTTGTATTTCTGAGTTTCTTCAACTGACAAGTCCAATTGGGTAATATAGGTTTAAACTTTTTGATGAGGAAATTGAGGTTGTCCGAGAACATCTTTACTTGGGAATTCTATTTAACGGCAATGGTAAGTTTGCTAAAGGAAGTAAGAGGCTTGCAGAACAAGCAACAAGATCGATGTTTTCTGTTTTTAAAACTATTAGGGAACTTAAAATCCCAATTGACTGTCAGCTGAAACTTTTTGATCAATGCATTTTGCCAATTTTGTTATATGGGTCAGAAGTTTGGAGGTATGAAAATGAAACTACTTTTAGAAAGAACGCATCTGAAATTTTATAAGTATATACTTAAGGTAAGACAATCCACTCCAAATTTTATGGTTTATGGGGAACTCGGTAGATATCCTATTGAAGTAATCATTAAAACAAGAATCATAAGTTACTGGTGTAAAGTCATTACATCCATACATAAATTACCTCATATAGTGTATAATGTAATGGCTAATGTGTATGGGTATTCAAATTTGATCTTTTAAATGTAGTGAAAAGTATACTTCTAAATATTGGGTTATCTGATATATGGCAGTCCCAAACTTTTCCTTCTGCATCCTGGCTGAAAAACTATGTTAAATACACATTTACTGATCAATTTAAGCAATCATGGAATGCTGACCTTCAAAATTCACCAAAAGGTAAATATTACTCCTTATATAAGCATACTCAGCATACTTAGAACCTTATTTAATCAGCCTCCCATTGAAATAACGTGTCTGGTTATTAATAACAAAACTGCGAACATGCAATCACAGCTGCAGATTACCGATTGAAACCGGCAGATGGTATACCATAGACATAGAAAATAGAATATGTACAATTTGTAACCACCATGTTACATGTGACGAATTTCATATTATCTTATCATGCAGAGCTCTAGATGATGTAAGAAAAAGTATACTCCCTAGCTATTTTTGCAATAACCCCCATATTGATAAATTTATTTCCCCTATGAAATTTGACTATCATCCTTTGGCACAGAAACTGTTAAGTTTAACGAAAATTGTAGTATCCCTGTTTAGTTATACATTTATATTATATTCATATGCATATAAGCCATAATGGCACTTTGTATTTTTCAAAATATATGTATGTTATATATATCATTTTGTATGATTTATGAGAATAAAAAAATCCTGAAAAATTCCTGAATCCTGGTAACCGGGTCCTCCGTGTATACATTCTGTGAAAACAAGTGTTTTCCACGCAGAGCTTACTCCTAATGCATCTAACCAATCTGCCATCTGCCAATGTCTATACTAACGTATGTTGTGCCCTTAAACCTACACATAAGCTCCGCCCACTCATGTTTATTTATGATTACTGTGCACTTAAGACCACTGTAGGTTTTAGGGCACAACAAACGTATATGCGTGTTTGAAATAGCTGATAGTGATCACATGTACTTGATGACAGATAATTGTGGTATTTAGAATTCCCACTTGACGATTCAGCTTATGCAGGAACCAGCTGTTGTTGATGACGTATATTTTGTTGTCTATCAGTGAACTTAAGTGTTGGGAATTACCTACAATCAATCGACTTCTATACCATCACACTGACATATGTTCATTATATATTCATTGACCTATATCAAGGGTTAACAAATGTGATAGACGTGTACATATC